GAATTCCTTCAGAGACATTTTACTAAATCAGATGCACGGAAGGTCCTATTAGAATTTCAAAAGGTGAGAAAATCCTCTGGTATTTTGTGTAATGTGTCATATTTTGATTATATAAATTTAATATTTGTGAAGTATTTGGAAACAATTTTCTTGACATCTCATTCATAGAATTGTATCTAAACAATTTTTATAATGAGAAATATCTATTTCTTAAAACAAAGATAAGCTGCAAAGTTTGTGGTTATAAATAAATCTGAAAAAGCTGTGATTTTATGATATTGGTTATAACATATGCAGAATTGTTAAAGATTTTTTTTGTATAATAATATAGACACACAAATATTGCACATTAAATATATAAACACATGACACTAAAACATCCAGGAAACACTTTCAGTGCTGATTTTTCAATTGACATTTGTTTTACATAAGAATACATTGAACAAGTATAAATAATTTAATTTACATACTGACATCTGCTTTAATCTTTCAGGATTTCTATGGGCAGCTGAAAAATTTAAGCCTGGATGATATAGAGAGACTAGCAGCCAGCAAGCTACGTGTGAATGCTAACGGAAATGTAAACGGACATGAGCGAATGACTTGACATTTAATTACACTTTATTATATCTTTGCAATTTTATCTTTATTATGTGTCATCTGGAATGGTCTAAAACTAACATGATTAGGAGTTGATATACATATATATATAGGAAAGTTGTGAAAATTCCTTGTTTAGTGAATTATTGTAAACTTTAATTACCAGCTGTAGTTTTTCTTTTCTTTTTTTTTAAAAATTTTCAAATTCAGTAAGTTAAAGAGTATGGAACTAACTGTTAACTGGTTTCATGTCCAAGTTCTATCAAGGTAGAGTCTTTGTCAGATATTGGGTGTTTTAAATTCAAACATTTTAAAATTGCTATGGGGTAGATTAAAGAAAGGATATGAGAACACAAGATGCACAGTATTTTTAACAATTTCCTGGTACATGTAATACACCTATGTAAAACAATGAATACACTTTGAAAGTAAATTACTATTACAGTTTACTTCATATTTTCCACCCAAAGTAAAGCCATTGAAGAAAATTTCCCAACACTCCACTTTTATATTGAATGTTTTTTTTTATGTCAACCTATATGATGTGTTTATGTGAAAAGAATTTGAAATAATTTGTCATAAAATCTGGAAATAAACGATGTCCATCTCAAGAGCAATAGAATTTCATAGAGATAACATGGTCTCCACTTTATTTTTAACGACATTTTATACAATCTAATATTGTTAACACTCGCTGTAGTAAAGAGCAGCATCATCAGCAAGGCTTACAAATGAGAAGTCTGTCGTTGTTGACCCACTGGACAGGAGGGTTCCTATTTCCGGCATTATTTCAGTATAGATGAATTTCCTTGTGTATTTTCTGCTCTTGATTGGTAGATCAATGTCGACATCAACTACAAAATCCTGTGTACTAGGACTTAATTAATGTATATCATTATGTGTGCTTGTTTAATGAACTTCACATACATTTTGACTCAAATTAATTTTATTATAAAGGATGGATATATTCTGTTTTGTGTTAATTATTTATTCAGGTTTTCAGTGAATCAATTACAATATATAGATTGCATATATTTTATCGTTCATAACTTTGCAAATTTCATAGGATACTTGAATTTGTGATCAATGCTTATTACATGAATTTTATTAATATCATGACATATATAAGTAAATCTAAATGTATTATTAAACCTTTTTTAATGATTTGTTTCGTCTGTTTTATATGAACATGTACATTGTATGTTGAAATAATTGTGTACTGATAATTATGACAGCAAGTTGATTTTCTGTGGGAGTTCCAAATTTTGCTGACTGTGATAAAGGCACATTGTTTATACATGCGTTGTATGACCTGGTGACATAACTGGTAGAAATATCCGACCAAGTGAATGTGGACTAGAAGTGTAGGATTCCTAGGAGTCTGAAACTATATATGTTCATCGTCACTTTTTACTAATAATTGACTTATGTGTCTTTGATATCCATTAAAGTATTTGAAATCATTTTACGTTTTATGATTTTATTTTTGTACTGGTAAAGGTGGCTGAAAGTTTACATGTTTTCGTACCTCTGGCGTTGGTGAAGCATACATATATATGCTTGAAAGAAAAAGCATACACTAAAATCACAACAAGAGGCCAGAAGGGCATGTACAACTAACCAGGTTATATGCAAACAAAGCAAAATATTCTCATTAAAATTAATATTGAGTATAAGTTGCCAGGGGTGCTACTGGATCCAAAGATTCATTCTGAAAGCATTTATGTTTCAAAATCTTCTTTCTCAACAGTTATTAGCTTACCGGGTCTGAAGGATCAAGGTGAGCTTATGCCATACCGTGGCGTACGTTGCAAATTTCTTCAAACAACTTCTCCTTAACCACTGATTTGAATTTAACTAAATTCAACTGGAAGCATCCATAGGTGGTGGGGATTCAAAATTGTACAAATG